TAAGGACATGGATTACTGGAACCATGTCCTGTGGTCTGATGAGACCAAGATAAACTTATTTGGTTCAGATGGTGTCAAGCGTGTGTGGCGGCAACCAGGTGAGGAGTACAAAGACAAGTGTGTCTTGCCTACAGTCAAGCATGGTGGTGGGAGTGTCATGGTCTGGGGCTGCATGAGTGCTGCTGGCACTGGGGAGCTACAGTTCACCATGAATGCCATGAATGCCAACATGTACTGTGACATAATGAAGCAGAGCATGATCCCCTCCTTTCGGAGAAGGGCAGTATGGGCAGTATTCCAACATGATAATGACCTCCAAGACGACCACTGCCTTGCTAAAGAAGCTGAGGGTAAAGGTGATGGATTGGCCAAGCATGTCTCCAGACCTAAACCCTATTGAGCATCTCAAGGTCTCTAACATCCACCAGCTCCGTGATGTCGTCATGGAGGAGTGGAAGAGGACTCCAGTGGCAACCTGTGAAGCTCTGCCATGCCCCATGCCCAAGAGGGTTAAGGCAGTACTGGAAAATAATGGTGGCCACACAAAACATTGACACCCAATTTGGAATTTGGACATTTTCACTTAGGGGTGTACTCACTTTTGTGGCCAGCGGTTTAGACATTAATGGCTGTGTACACTGTTATACAAGCTGTACACTCACTACTTTACATTGTAGCAAAGTGTCATTTCTTCAGTGTTGTCACATGAATGTATAATAAAATATTTACAAAATGTGAGGGGTGTACTCACTTCTGTGAGATACTGTAGGTATTACATCGAGAACGTGATTTATGAGGACATTTTGAGTGTCCCCGTATTTCAAAAGGCTAATAAATCATTCAGAATGAGTTTTGAAAATCAAAAAATGCAGAAGGTTTCCTGTGAGGGTTAGGGTTAGGTGTAGGGCAATAGAAAATACAGTTTGTACAGTATAAATTGCGCCTATGGAATGTCCCCACAATTCACAAAAACAAACCTGTGTGTGTGTGTACCTACTTAACCATATTTTGGGGACAAAGTTGTACCCAAAAGTGAGCAAAACCTGACAAAATTGCCAAAAACCTCGAATTGGGGACATCCTCATTTGTAAAACTGGTATAAAAATAATAAAAAATAAAGTAAACAAAGTTTTTTTTTTTATTGTAAAAATGCAGAAAGTTTTCTGTGAGGGGTAGGGGTAGG